CGCGGCATAAATCAAAACATGGCACAGCAAATCCCATCCATTCTCTGTATCACATGTGGGTTTGTACCCTATAAAGCAAAGCCAAGTCCTGAGCCATGAACAGAGCTCTCTGGTGCTACAAGACGGCAGACAGAAAGCAGAGTCTCCTTCTCCAACCCACTATACAAAGGCCAGATTTTAACCCCCCTACACGCAGTGAGTTGAAACGCAACTCCCATGAGGAGTAAGGTGTGATTCAATGTGAGTGAAAGTGGCTAAAGACGACCCCAAAACAAATAAACAGTATCATCCAGAAACAAACAAACTGAGAGGTTAGGAAGCAGCGAAGATGTCAACAGAAAGCCTTGGGGACTTCGCTGCCTGAGCGGATATGGAAAGAGGGATAGGGGCTTGAGGCAGAAAATGGAGTGACTCTGGCTGACACAAAAGCCTGCTCTTTCACACACTTCTTACATAAGATGGGCAAACCACTCAGCCCCCCGTGCCTTCTCTCCACCAATAAAATAGGAATTATGGCAGAGTCCTAACTCCAGAGGCTGCAGGAAGAACTAAAGATCATCAGCTATTGGGGCAATGAAGCTCCTCAGACAGAAAAGACGTAATATATTCAAAACTTGGTATAAGTAAGTGTTATACCAACAGTCCCCCTACTCCTCCCCTACAGACTGAGGTAGTCACGCAGTACTGGCTCACGCTGTTCTGGTAAGTCAGGCTTTCTTGTGCACCAGACAACCAAGGCTGACTTGCAGCTCTACATGCCACATCCTTCTAGCTTCTGCGCCTGTGAAGCTGTGGCACGTGAAGCCATCACCTGAGGCACAAGAGGCACCTTCCGCATACCTACCTTGCATTCCTGTTCAAGGACAGTGTGCAAACTAAGCCATAAAGCAGCAGTATCTGAGCGTTTCAGTAGCTGCAGCCCCCCGCCCTCTAAAGACAGCTTTAAAGGTCACGAGAGCAGAGGGCCACTGGCTACAAAGAAGATTCAGCACAAAATCAAATGATGGAATTTAGAATTCTGAAAAAAAGTCTTAAGTGGGGCCTGGCTCTTGCAAGAAGCCTCTACAATAGAGGGAGAAAGAAGAAGAGGAAAAAAAAAAAAAAGAAAAGGAGCTGCATCACTAGGACAGTTCGAAAGGCAAAGAAACACAGGCATCTGGATTTTGAAGACACCAGGTGTCCAAAATGCCCTACCATACCCATTGTAGTCAGATCTGCTGACTCCCAGCTCTACGGGCTGCCTGCCTGCACACTGCGGATGTCTGAAAGGTTTGCTGCTGAGGGCCCTTGGGAAACAGCCTTAGACACAAGGGAAGACAGTGGGAAGAGAGGAAAATGAAAGGAAAAAGAAACTGGATGGAGATCAATCCTTCCCCACGGAACCGAACAATAGATTCTCTGAGCACTCTTAACAGCACAGGCTTCCTGAGAGAGCTGAGGACTCCTAGCATCACTGGGAGGGAGCCTGGCATCTCCCTAAGATCAGGCTGAAAAAATAACAGGCTTTTCTCTATGCCTGGGAGTCTAAAAAAAATACAAATGACAACCTAATATTGTCATTTCAGATTCTGATATAAATCTTAACTGCATTAAATTGCTTGTACTGGGGTGGGGAATCATTTGGTATCCCTGCTGTTTATTTCCTGTTCACACAACAATTTATTAAAAAACTTCGCTTATTCTCCAAAAACAGTAAATATCAAACCAGCCCAGTCCTACCTGCAAAAAATCTTTCAAATAGTGGGGTCTGCTCAGAACTGCATCTGCAGAGTTCACAAGAGAAGTTTCCAGGACTAGTGAATGCAGTTAAAGTGCCCAAAGAGCTGTACTCCCAGCATGGTCTACTTGGCTTCTCTAGCGAGTTTTTAGAGCTCAGCTTCTGCCCCACAACTGTCTTCAGAAGGAAGACGACCAACTGATACTGTATGTTAAAGCAAAGTGCTGTTAATTTTTCGTTCCAGTCCCAAACCCAGAAAATACCCTTATCAAGATCCATAAGAAAATTAAAAAAGAAAACCCAAAATAAAAACAGCAAACCAGTGAACCAATCCATATTAAATTAGAGCTTAGTTTTGACTTTTGCTTTTAGCTATATGTTAAATGAGGTATTTTTAAAAGTCCCCCTTGTTTTCTAGAAAATCCAGGTCCTAACGACTGATTCTCCACACATTTCTGCAGGTGCCTAACTATCCAGTACCTAAGTAGCCCTGACTAAAGCCAACAAGATCACGCATGTTTAATTGCGTACAGGATCTACACCACAGCATGCAATACTAGTCAGTAATCCAAAAGGCCTTAAAATACCCATGCAAAATACTATACATACATATATTTATAAGGCCCCAAGGATTTCAGAGGGGCTCCCCTCTGCAGCAGTCTGCATGCTGTCAGCAGTCTGCAGGACAGAGACAAAGAAAAGGAGGGAAGAGAATCTGAGTCAAAATATCCTTATTTAAAAATGCATCAATCAGAAACAGAGAAAAAGCTTTTTCTTCTAGCTCTACACTCCTATTAAAGGTAGAACAAAAAAGTTATTTCACAGGCACTGGAAGACCATCTTTATTTCTTTAGGAATAAGATCTTCTTCCACCATCACCACCCAGAGCTGTGCTACCTTCTCCTCAGAACTGTCTGGGTAATCGTGCCACGAGAGCACAGTGCTCGTTGCAAAGAAATAGCTGCAACGTCTCGGTCGCAAATACTGATGGGGAAAAACTTGGATTTAAACTACGAAATAAAGAGCGCCTAGGCTTTGTAAACACTTTGAACCTCAGAAGCACAGTTTATTTGGTTCAATGAAGACCAACAAAAACACTCAAGTGTCTCAATTTCTAAGAGTGCATACATTTAAAAAAAAAAAAAGCAAAGAAAATAGTGCTTTGCTAAGGTTGCTTGAGAGACATCCTTATACAGGAGGCTTTCAAATGATAAAGGTTGCTGTAAGTGACAAAACCCGCAAGAGATCCCATATCTAAAAGCATAACTTTTCTAATTAGATTAAACATTTTGAAACAAAAGTAATCTAAGAAAAATCTCTCACCCAAGCATGAAATGTAAGTTTGGTCCCTCATCAACTGCTAAATGTTTGATTCAAAGTCCACTCAAACAGCTTCACTAGACAGAACTTACTGAACTGTCCCTTTGGTTTTAACAGGAAAGGATGATACAGACCCTCCTTTAAACAAGGCTAATGCTATACTCAGCGTCACACAAAATACACTGCAGCGCACTTAGAGGCACCCTGAACTTCACAGTTGTCACTTCCCAGCACTGCAGCCATCTGGAAAGCCTGCCATCTCCCACAGCAAATGCAAGCTGCTACGACTTGTGCTAAAAGAAACTTCCATCACCAACTGTGTGCGTGAGGGCTGAGCTCCCCGAAAGAGCAGCTCTGATCTCTGGCTAGAGCAGACCTGAGGCCAGTCACCTCTTGGGACTGAAACAAGCACACAGGGCAACACACTATGCACCGCTCACACCGAAGATATGATTTGGCCCTGAATACTCCTTGCATAACGAAGATTTTAAAAGAAGGCTAAGAAGTATCATCCCTGCTTCTCTGTTGCCTTCCCTCCACAACATACTCAGCCTGTCATGCCAAACAGCCCAGCGAGCTGGCCTCAGGATCCTGTTAGAGCCATGCCTACAGACTCCAGGTCTGCAGCGCACGCTGATCACCCCAGCCTCAGGGACGGGGAAGCTCTGCATCCCACTCTAGTCTAGAGGCTGCAGGATTCAGTGCTAAGGAGCTCCTGAGGGGGATGTGCTTCCAGCCCTCCTCAGGAGAAGGGCAGGTTGCCATGACAAAGGCCTTTGAGAGAAAGAGGTGTGGGATGGAAAAATAATAATATGCGAGAAACCCAGGAGGGAAAAAAACAGATCTCAGTTCAGCATTTACTGTCATTTCCCAGCACGAAGTGCCTGGGATTTGGGACCTTAGTTCATAAGAAAAAGGAAAGGAATACAACTACCCTGAAATTAGGAGAGGGTGGATGAAGGAGGGAAGTAAATATAAGTGTGCGGCATACAAAGAGTCCAGGATATGGTGATCCCAAGGAGGAGAACTTCCCCACAGCAAAGTATCCTAACACCACTTCAAATAACCTTTATTATCAAACACCAGGGAAGCACAGGCACAGTAAGAGAAGGAACCTTTCCCCTAGGCCTCTACACCCCAGTTCCCTTCCCAACGGCCTTAAGAAAGCTTTATCGCCTGAGCAACCTGCCACCATTTTATGGATTGCACAGGCCCCACTGCAGTATAAGCAAGCTAGTAATTGTCTTTTTTAATGCTTTACACTTCTTAAGGTTCTCCCTACCGCAGAGGGTCTCAACAAGGTCTGGACACTTCTACAGAGAGGAGCAAAAGAAAACAAAAGCTAGAAAGGATCGTACAGATCTCTCCTACATTTAACAAGCCAAGAAATATCAGAGAGGTGCCAAAAACACGCAGTCCTACAATTGCTAAGCATTCAGAAAGCTGGGAAATCCCACTGCCAAACACATTGTGCATAGCAGCCAGTCATCTCCCTCTCCTCATTTGTCATGGGATATCCAATTTAAAGCATCATTTCCCTGCTTCAAATTATGCCTATCACTACACTCCCAAAGCACTCAGGCTGCGCACACACTACCCCTTCTGTGCAGCAACTTCTGGGCTGCACAGACACCACCATCTTTAACCGGTGTAATGGGAATAGCTATTGCCTGTATCTTCCCTAAACCCTGTGAACAGCTCTCCCCATTCCCCTTCCCTCTGCAGCATCTGAGCCTTGGCACTGAGTCAGCTGGCAGTGCCACTCCAGAGACAGCTCCTCCGTGTCCCCTCTGCTCGCAGCACCATGGATCCAGAAGCGATGTTGTACTTGTGTGTCCCAGGTCTGAACGCCCCTGTGCTCACGCTCCTTCCTCTGAGTTTTCCTGCAGGGAAGTTTCTCTCCCGTCTCCAGTTTCATCCTTCCATCCAGCCCTGCACCCACAATTTCTTGCCCACATCGTACCTGTTGGCCATACTTGCATTGCTGCCACCGCCGCTGTGCTTTCTTGCCCGGCTCAGCCTCCGTGTGGGCTTTGGGTCTTGTAGTCCAGGACTTGGAACTGAGGGAAAGGCCGAGGCATAGCCATGTTCACACTCTGCACAAGAATCAACAGGCAGGGTGTGAAAAAGGGTAATTCCAAAAAAAAAAAAAACCCAACCAAAAAAAAAAAAAAACCAGCAGGCAGGCCTCATGCTAACCCACCACCAGCCTAGGTGGGGAGGCTCTGAAGCACAAAAACTGTGCAGGAAAGTGACTGGCAATGCATTTAGAGAGAACTGGACTGGGAGGTGGCGAAAAGAGAGGAAGGGGAGTGTAAAGGCTCTGCCAGCCTTGGAGGAAGGACACCACATCTCCAACACCTGGAAACATCAAAAGGAGACACAACAGCCTACAGACTCCCTCGCCCCTCTCTCCTCGTTCGAGCTAGGCGTACTGAGCAAAGCAGACGTGTTTCACTGTGCCATCGTGGTCTCTGCAAACCCTGACCCTCACCCCACCGTCCCTCCTGTCCAGCAGGAAACTTTCAAGCCAACCCACAGTTTTCCCCCAAGGAATCTCCTTCACCTCCAGCTCCCCTCCTCTGTGAGGGTCTTCCACCTCAACCACAACCTCGAGGGGCACCCGGCTAACCCTAACCTCAGCCCCACGCTGTTGGGGGGTTTGCGGTCAGCCCAGCAGGAAACGCTCACCCTGACCCCCTTGGCCTCTCCCCCCCGGCTGGGGCTGCCGGACCCCAGCGCCGCTCCCGCCGCCGGGG